CGACATCTGCCAGCAGCTCGAACTTGCGGTCCCCGACCAGGTCGCTCTGCTGGGCGTCGATAACGACGAACTCGAATGCAACCTGGCGACGCCGCCGCTTTCGAGCATCGTGATTCCCTCGCAGCGCATCGGATACGAGGCCGCCGAGGCGATCGACCGGCTGATGTCGGGGGAGGCCCTGCGTCAAACGAGGAATTACCTCCCGCCCGTCCGGGTGGCGACGCGGTTCTCGACGGACACCCTCGCAATCGAGGACGCCGATTTGCGGGTCGCGTTGGCCTACATCCGCAGTCATGCGCACCTGCCCATCGATGTCGAGGCGGTGCACGAGCACGCCGCCGTGTCGCGGAGAATGCTGGAGAGGAAGTTCCGGGAACAATTGGGCCGGACCGTGCTGGACGAGATCCGGCGGGCGAGGATCGAGCTCGCCAAACAGCTGTTGATCGAGACCGATCTGGCGATGCCGGCGATCGCCAAGCGGGCCGGATTCTCCGGCGCGAGGCGTTTAGCGGTGGTCTTCCGTGAGGAGGAAACGATTACTCCCACCGAGTTTCGCGAATCGGTGCGGCGACGCAACGGCTTGTCGCATTTCGAAACCTGATTTCCGCATTCGCGTGTAGCAAACCGCGAGTTCCCGAGCCATTTTGTACAGCAGAGGCAACCTCTCGCCTTGCCTGCAAAAGGTCAACTACTTGAGCAGGCCGTGAGAGGACGCCGCCCGGACGAGTTCTCATCGCGCTTTCAAATCCTCTTCGAGCCGGCCCACTAACCGGGCATCAGTGGTTCGCGCCGTTGGGACTAGTGCGATGGCGACATGAGATCGTCGGCCGCTGCGGCTGTTGCGTCGCTTCTTTGATTTACCTTTTCAAACGCTGTCTCTTCTAACTCTTGTGGGGCGCCTAATGAACGTGAAACACCTTGCCGTCGCCTTGATGTGCGCCGGCGCGATGACAACCACCGCCCAGGCCAGCACGGTCACTTACGCGGGCACGCAGTACGACATTGGCGGCACGTTCTTTCCAGGCGGCGGCCCCGCTGACGCCAACGCGTATGTCGTCGCCGGCTGGCGCGGCAGCGACGTGGCGAAGACCCACGACCTGGACAGCAACAACACCTACGGCAGCGCTGGCTACGCGATGTTCGGCACGCGTTTCGACTACCCGAACGCCAACGCCACCGGCGGCAACGCCTTCGTGAATCCCACCGACAACAGCGTGTTCCCGAATCTGATCGACCTGCCGAATTGGGTCTCCGACAGTCAGATCCTCGCCAGCCGGAAGGCGGGCGGATGGGGTTATGCGCTGATTGACGACCCACAACTCACCAACGGCCCCCGCGACTTCACTTGGGGCGCCTCGCAGACGCCGGCGTCAGTGTTCCAGCCGCCGTACGTGAAGCTAGGCATCCTCGACGGAACAGGCACGCCGAGCGGCGCCGATGGCGTCGGCGCTCCGGCCGAGCGCTGGAGCTTCACCCTCGGCGCCGACGCACCGGACGTGTTCCGCGTCGGTGTGATGACGGATGGCTTGGACTCCACCAACTGGGCGCCGAGCGAGGTTCGGATTTCGTCGAGTCTCGGTGGCGGACAAGTGAGCACCGGCACAGTGACGAAGAACCGCTTCATCGACATGCACTTCTTCGACATCGTCGGCGGGCAATCGGGCGAGACATTTACGTTCTACGCCTTCAACCCCGGCGGCGGCAGCGCAGGCATTTCGGGTTTCACTTTCGAGATTCCCGAGCCGGTCTCGGCGACGCTTGTGGGTCTCGCAACGATTGTCGTGACGGTCGGGCAACGCCGCAGCCGTTGCTGATGGATTCGAGTGAACCAGACACCCGGAGGGCCACAGGGGACGCCACGTTGCGTTCCCTGNNTGTGGCGCCTAAAGGCGGACGACAGAGAATTTCAGGCGTTAGAACGGATTGAGGAAGGCAAACATGCGGAATTTTTTAAATCGTCGAGCGAATCGATCGCGGCGCTGCGGGGGCGGGTTCACGCTCGTCGAGCTGCTGGTCGTCATCGCGATCATCGGCATCCTGATCGCCTTGCTGCTGCCGGCCGTCCAGGCGGCGCGTGAAGCGGCGCGGCGGAACGCCTGCTTGAACAACGTCAAGCAGCTGACGCTGGGCGTCCTCAACCATGAGAGCGCTGTAACGCGACTGCCGGCCGGCTTTACGACGCTCGATGGCTCGGGCGACATCAATCACACCTGGGCGACTTACACCCTCCCCTACTTGGAAGAGGCGTCGCTCTTCGGGCAGATCGACTTTGATAAACCGGTCTTCGAGCCGTGGGAGGACGCCGGTCGCACCTGCCCCCACTCGGCGCCTTGGACCTACACACAGTTGCCGCTGTTCCTCTGCCCCTCCGACACAGGAC